AGGGGCAGGTCCCTGCTGCTCACAGATGGGCAGCATCCCATGCCAAGTATTGCTTTTGGCTCAAGAGGTTCCCGGCACAAGAGGGACTTTCTGGGGCTCTCAGCCTTGCTATTTTTACACTCTGACTTCCAGTCTCTGTTCCTGTTGCCTCAGAAGGGAACAAAGCCACAAGCAGGGAGAGGCTGCAGAAGCATTTTTGAAGACACGTTGGCTTTCAGCTCTTGCTGCTGCACCATCCTGTCAACCTGGGAGGGTGTGCACCCTTCAGTAGCAGGCAGGGATGGTGGGAAAAACACAAAGCCTTGTATGTGCAGTGCCTTGTGGGGAGGGTAGAAGGGAGAAATAGATGGGACTTCAGTCCCTGCATCCTCAGGAGAGTGTTAATCCTAAGGTTCTTCTGGGAGAGGGGGTAGTGACAGATCTGTGGCCTGGGTGTTTGGGCCAGCAGGAATGTCCAGCCATGGATTATAGGCAGCAGAATTAGGAATCAGGAGTGTCCAACCATGGATTTACAGGCAGCAGAATTAAGAATCAGGTGCAGAAGGAGGGCCCTATGTAAAGTCTACATTAAATGTCCTTACCTCTATGCAACCCCAGAAGTCAAGATCGTTCAGGCTCAGACCAGTTCCTCTGGAGCAAATCGTCAGTTACCAGCTGTTGACCCTGGTCAGCTGGCTGGTTTCACACATCAGACTTGCAACTGTTATGTGTTTTTTTTACCCACTGTTTATTCACCTTCTAATTTCCGCCTATCAGGGTATGCTGATGATTCTTAGGGCTCTGGAAAGGGTAGCTCTATTGCTACGTAAAGACAGAGTTTACCCTTGGTTATAAATGCAACTTGTCCTTTTTCTGTGCCTTAGAAATGTGAGTCACCATAGCATGTCTGTCCTAGGGCAACTGTGAACACTGCACACACCCCCAGACCCACGGGTGAGGGAGCAGGAGTCTCCAGACTCATACTAATACCAGGCAGCCATCTTCACTAGGGGATCATTTGTCTTTGAGAGAAACGTAAGAAAAGTTTAACAAGTCTGTTTAAAAATAAGCAACAGGAAACATAAATCTTCATTTTAAAAGTTGTGATCTATTCATTTTTTACCTCCATATTAATTGAGAGACAAAGAGGTTCCCCGAGAAGCCAGGGCCCAGCTGCCAGGGACATGGTGCATGATGGGAAGAAACCCACCAGGCAGGCTGGGAAGAATTTGGTCTGGTCTGAGTTCCTGAACTCTTCACAGTCCAGCCTGCTCAAGGAATATCTATCTCTATATATATTTTTTCCACAGAAATAGTCCCCATGGAATTTTTTTTAAGATATCATTATTTTGAACCATGATATTATTGGATCCCATACATTCTGTAAGCATTTTCCTTTGGCCATATCAAAACATTTTATTTAGGATAGCTTTACTGAGTACTGAGCTTAATACAAAATTATGTTGTTGACTTTGGAGACCTATAATAATAATGATAATAATAATGTTAATAACAGCAGTGACTATTAGTATGGTGACTATGGCTATTACATGTCAACCTTTATTCTGAGTGTTTTATACATACTTAATCAGGTAGGTATTTTACTTTTTTTTTCTTTTATTACAAAAGTTTATTTTTACATCATTTTGTACATTTTTTTTTCCATCTCAATTGTAATCCCCGCGGGTTTCCCATCACCAAATCACCCGTGTGCCATCACCATAATCCCATGCATTTCTCTCCCCCCCACCCCCCGTTTTTGATCCCATTCCCCACTCTACCCCCACAAAATGTCTCTGGTATATGGTTGTTCATTATTTTTGTTATTTTCTTGTCTGGTCCATTATACTCCTGCTATGAGTGAAACCATCCGGTATTTTTCTTTCTCTTTCTGGCTTATCTCACTAAGCACGATCTTTTCCAGCGCCATCCAAGTTGCTGCAAAAGACATGTTTTTCTTTTTTGGTTACTGTTTACTTTTTTTTTTTTTTTTTAAGATTTATTTATGCATACAGAACTGGGGTATAGGCCAGAGGTGCAGGGACAGTGAGAGGATTCATCAGAGACAGAGTGGGGGGCAGAACAGGCAGATCGTTGAAGTACACTGCTGAGGGGAGCAGTAGGCGGGTCAGGAGAGGTCTGCCCCACCATGTGGATCACTCCTCCAGGCAGGCGGAGATCGAACTCATGCTGAAGTGGCTTTAGCTTCTTAGTGCTGTGTTTTGACCCGTTGTGCCACCAGGGAGGGCCCTATTTTACTTCTTGTTTTACAGAGAAGCATCTGAAGTCTAGGGAGGTTGCATAACTTCTCCCAAAGTCAAATAGTGACTAGCTGAGCCATGACATGCAGACCCCTACAGAGTTCATACTCTGGATTTCCAGACCAGCCTGATTTCTGCCATACCTAGAATCTTTGCTGACTTTCCTTATTTCCAATTTCACTAGAGTATTTAAAAAAGCAAAATCAAAAACTCCTCTGTAGGCTTTCTATAGTTCTTTCTATTGTAATTCTCATATACATCCTTCTTTAAGTAATCCCCACAGCTGATCTGAATTCGAATCCTAAACTGGTAACTCTCAGGTGGAATCTGGTGGTTTGCTTTATGCTTTTCAAAGGTAAATTGATTTGCTTAAGGTTACTGTTGCAGAGAGATTCACCCAAAAAGAAAAAAAGTTCCACAGTATGGAAGTCTTATAGGCTGAAAATAAAGAATATGAAAATAAAGAATCACATGTGATGATTTCAAAGCTCTAAGCAGATCAGTCAAGAAGGGGTGTGTAACAGACACTCAGTTCAGAAAACTGCTGAGATCAGAAGGGCCATGAAATCACCAGTTACCATTTTCTTTCCACAATGTCAACTCCTTGCTTTTATCTTCAGCAGCCTAAGTGATTTTCTGAAAATCAAAAGGGGCTGGAACTTCTTCCTTGAAGCACCTGGTGTTTGCAGATTTTCTTGTCTTTATTGAGCCTCCCGCCCTCATTCATGCCATTTGAGGGCTACCATTTTTAAGCTGCTTTGCAAATTTTGAATAATCTTATGACAGAAACAGCTTCTTGATAGGTAGATATTTTGGCCCCACTGCCCATTAGCTATGGCTTCAAATTTTATTTTGAGTAAAATTTAAAAGCCAACTAACAAAGTACATCTTTCAAGGAAACTCATATATGCAAAACCTATATGAAAAACAAAAACATCACTATTATGAAAGACCTGGTATTCCTGGCACTCTGTCTTCCTTCATAATTTAATAACAGTTGAAAGCCATTGACCCACTGACTAAGGCCTGAGTTGCTTATTTAGAGGTGTCCATAATTTTATGTGGAAAATAAAAAAAATTGGGCCACAGAGATTAGCAAATGAAGTGTAACAGGGATGAGGTGACCCAGAAAGGATATTTTTTACATTTCCTTGTCAAAATTATCAATAAAAAAGGAAACAAACTCTCAACTCAAAGTCTCTTGGCCTCCAGCCCAGAATTCCTTTCCATCTATCATATCATGTTTCTTTTTATCCACAAGAACATTGGCAGGCACTCTCAAGGGAAGTAGACTTCATTCCTAACTAGAAGCTGGTATTCCTACCAGTTACACAGGGGACAGGGACACCCTCGCTTGGGTTTTCTCCAACTTAATCTCCAGTTCGGTGCATTTTACCTCTGCGTCCCAGTTGAGGTACTGAAAACAAAATAGCAAAAGAACCCTCCCCTAAAGAGGACATCAGACAAACGAGTGAATACACATACTTATTTTGAGTGGTTTCTGCAACATTTGGGTAACTTGAAATTATTTAATCATGCTTAATTTCCTGTAGGGGTGGGGGGATTTCCATTCTAATTTGAGACATGTGGCAGTTTTGCCTCTGGCAGATTTAAAATGAGAAAAGTGGATGCTAGAATACCAAACCTCCTGAATCACATCTGTGCCCTCCATCTTAATCAACCTCTTTGTTTGGCTTCCTTTTTCCCTTGTCGCGGCTGGGCAGCCTTGGTGACCCCTATCCACATGATTTGTACAGAGGAAACCCCATAAGCTTCTCATTTAAATCATTGTAAAGCACTTAGGCCCCTTGCAAATGGCCAAGGAGAAAAGCATCTAATCCTGAGCATAAAGTGAAACCTAGATTTGAGGTTTGCTGCTAGATGTTTCTGTTTACCTACATTGACCCATTATACCTCCATTCTATGAATTCCTCATCCTCCTTCCTCTTCTCTTCTCTAGTACTTTAATCCCTATCATATTCAATTCAAAGTCACACATGAGATTTTTAAAAGTGAATATTCAGTAATAAAATATTGATATAAGATTGTCAAGATGTATTTTATTTTGTGTTAAAATTCCTTATCGTTGAACCTAAATGCCCTTGGACTTTGCACGTGCTTGCCAGTTTGCCACAGTCCTCACCACTCTCTTGCCCACCCACCCTCCTTCAGGGACTGGCAGCCTGCCTATTGACTCCATTTAGTCACTTATTAAATTCTGAGGCATTCCCAGTCCACCTTTTTTGGAAATTACCCCATGTGCAATTTAGAATTCCAGAGTATTACAAGATGTTGTTCTGTAGACATTTATGATCAAATGAGAAGAATTGTTAATGTAAATACAGTACTCATGTAAAGAACGGCTAAGGAAAATGAGAGCTGTGCTCAGTGCTGGGAGTGGTGTATGATATCAGTGAATCTTTCTGATTCCCAAAGGGATTTCGTAGACTTTGTGTGTAACCTTGCAGATTTGCTTGGGTGGTTGATTCTGACTAATAGAACTTTAGCTGATTCACGAGGTTCTTGGTACTGTAAAATAACTTGTGGATGGGCCCTTTCTGTCCATATCCTCCAGTGTTTTCTTCCTAGTTTGTCCCTGTTCTCTTTTTGCCATGCTTTGTATCTACAGGATGACTCTAGTTCTCCTGATGTGGGTTTGAACACATCGGCTATGTCATCCCCCTGACTACTGGTACTGAACTTAGAAGACTGGAATGTGTTCTTCCTGTAACAAAATCCTCCCTCTTTTGTATTTCCCAGCAGATATATGGAGCGATCACTCATTTCAGACTGATCCAGATCTGCCACCTGGCTGGAAAAGAATCAACGACATTGCTGGAACCTATTATTGGCACATACCAACGGGAACGACTCAGTGGGAACGCCCGGTCTCCATCCCAGCAGACCTTCAGGGTTGTAGGAAGGGCTCACTTAGTTCTGTCACGCCATCTCCTACCCCAGAGAACGAGGTAAAATGGAGTGTTTTTTAATGCTTAGTAGAGTGGATGTAACTTAATGATTTCTCTTTAGACTCATTGCATCTGCCCCAACGGCCATTGAGGTAAGCATTTTGATGATCACGCATGTTGTAGTTGAAATCTCTGTAAATGCGTCCTTTCAGTAAATAGTGTTAATACCATCTTTCAAGGATGTTTGCATTTCTTTAATGACTTTTACTCTCTTGAAAAGCCTTTCCAGGTATGGAAAGTAAGAGGGGCTGATTAATGAGAAGTGGTTAAGATTCCCTAGGGCTCACTGAGGCTAATACTTTACTCTGTAGGTGCCACTGCACAGTGCTGGCTCCATAAAATATTTACACACAGAAGAATGTCTCTTGGCCAGACATGTTATAATTACTGCGTATCTTATTAGCCTTGGGTTCATTGGATTCTGTGGAGAGGATGTCTGCAAGAATAACCCTTGAGAGTCCTTAAATGCTTAATTTCTATTTTTTTTTTAAAGTGAGAGTTTGTTTCGCACAAGTGACATTATTTTAGAAATAATTAGCAGCATAAATTCCTGCTATCCCTGAGGAAGAAATCTGGATGTTTAAACAAAGAATTGAGGCATTAAAAAAATTCCACTGTGGTATTTATTAATATAAATATGCCTGCAGTGAACCTTTGTGAATCCTGGTAACAAAATATTCAGAGAATTACAGTTAGAAAATACCACCATTAAGTAGTGGCCTTTTTTGAGAATGGCAGTTTGATCCCTGACACCTAGGCATTTCTGCCTTTGTGTGACTACAATTTTTGCTCTTCAGACAGCCCATTTGCTTTTACTTTGACGACATGAAGGGCATTTGGCCACCTCTTACCTGCAAAGCTGCTCACTAGCCTCATAACGATTATCACCCTTCCTGTCTTTAAAAGTAGACTCCCAACCTCCTGGGAAACTTCCATTCATTCATGTATTCCTCTTGTGTTAGGTATTCTAGGGGGATAAAAATGCCGCCACTACGGCAGCATGAAGCAGCGATTTTGCCTAGCCTAATGCAGGTGCCTCTGGCTCTTCTCCTCGTACCACAGAGCACCCTCCTGGAAGCCACGTGGCAAGGTGCAGCCTCTGTTCTCACTCTGCACTGATCCTCTCTCTTCCTTGACTGTAGATTTTTTCTCTTGATTTCTCTTGGAGCCTCCTCTACTCCAAAGCTCTCTCTGTTCCTGTATAGTGACCCTTCCACCATCTTCACCAGCAGAGTTGCCACCACAGAATGCCAGGGTGGTCTGATACAGTGTCCATACATCACAGACAGGGAAACTGAGGCACAGAGAGGTAGGCTAATTTTCAGAGGACCTAAATCCTCCTGAATCTAGGCCAAAGTTCCGCTCACTCAGCTTCCCTGGCTGAAGGATGTCAGCCCATTTTTTCCCGCTGACCCAGAGGTAAGATGAGAGCGCCTGAGACACCATTCCTATTCACCGACCCTGGTGTTTCTGTGTGCAGGAGAAATGACGTCCTCTTACAGCCTGTCTCCTGAGGCTACTGTGTGGGTGTGGTCGAGCCCAAGGAAAGCATCAGGGTTTCTATAGCTCAGATTTTTCTTTGATTGATATGGTAACCTTCCTTTCTGGGGTCTGCGAAATGCTTTGGGAAGAATGCAGCCACAGAGGCAGCTGGCCCTGGGGGGTCTCTGAGCAGACTGCACTTCTCACGCCTGGGCCTCCTTCTGGTGTGCCTTTCTGCCTGTTCTTCCCCTCTGTCCATGCTTGCCTCACACCCCAGCCTAACCTCCCCTCGGGGCACCCTCCAGGCTCCGGCTGTGTCCCGTGACCCACTTTCCTTTCTTCCTGGAGTTCAGTGTTCCTTGCCTGCTTCTCTAGCCATTGGCCTCCCACTTGCCACTCGTGATTTATCATGACTTTTAGTGAATTTCATCAGTGTCACGTCATTGGTTCCCTTCAAGATACTCCTGCAGCTGGGAAGACGCCATTGTCTTCCCATTTAAGAGGAGGGATAATCAAGGCTCTGTGAGTTGAAAACCACTCAGCTGGTGTTAGCATGGGGTGGCAGCCAGCTCACTGACTCTCCAGAGTCAGACCCTGTGCTCAGCCCTACACTGTGTGAATTTCCACCCGCTTGTTGATGTCTTTCTCTCTTCTTCTGCCAGCTACACTATTGTGTTCACCAAGTCTTATCCCTCCGGGAACCTTTGTTAGCGGTTGTATATTTTCTTGAAGCTTCAGAGAGAGAATGCCTCATGGCCAGCACTTTAATCTTCAGATCAACCTTTCATTCGTTCACTTAATATGCATTTTCCTCCTGACCGTGAGGCCCTCTATGAAGACAAAGAGCTAGGCAAGTTGAAAAGACAATTAAAATCATAGAGGCAGGGGCCCTCCCTGGTGGCACAGAGGGTTAAAGCACAGCGCTAAGAAGCTAAAGCCACTTCAGCATGAGTTCCATCCCTGCCCGCCCTGGAAGTGACCCACATGGCGCGGCAGACCTCTCCTGACCCACCCGCTGCTCCCCTCAGCAGTGTACTTCATAAGTCGGCCTATTCTGCTCCCCACTCTGTCTCTGGTGAATCCGCTCACCATCCCTGCACCTCTGGTCTGTACCCCAGTTCTGTATGCAAAAAAATCATAGAGGCAAAGGGGTGAGCAGGTAGAGAGAAAAGGAAGGGGGAGTGGGAGGAAGACCCAGCCACCTGCTCACCAGGACATGTAGATGCCATCACAGATATTAAAGCTGAGGCACAAGGGAAATAGAGTGAACACAGTGCCAGCCTCATGGCTTCTCTCACTGCTCCTCAGAAAACTCTCTGTCTTATCTGTTGCTATGGTGATCATTTTCTTTTTACATTTGAAAACACAGAGACAGAGGAAGGTGAAGGATTTTGCTCTGGCTTACACGCCTAATGCATGGCGGGGTCAAGCTTGGTTGAGTCTGCCAATCTGGGTTGGTGGGTGCCACCCCCACACCACACCAGGCTACAAGGCACTGTGTGTCAGGGGGCTTGGGGTCCCTCAAATCTTGGCGACCCTCCACCCCAAGGGAGGACTGTGCCATAGACTGAGCCTTCTAGAAAATGACATCGTCTCAGGTGCTAATGACAGTCGAAGAGAAATGATTATTTCTCTGACACCATTTCTTTGATCCCTAAATAGCATCTATTTCAACTACTTTAGAAACATGAGAGAAAGCAAAATGTTAAGGGCGAGAAGAAACTTGTAATATGTCATGTTAGAAATGCATATTTTATTCAGCTTTTTCCTGAGATAGCTTTAAAAAAAAAAATAAATAAGTGCCAAATCTGTTGACTAGGCCTCTAAAAAGTAGAGGACAGAAGCCTTCCTTACAGTTTGAAAAATTTATATTTCACATTCCAAAGTTCACTGGAGAAGTGCTAAGCTCAGCAGATAATATTTCCTCTGCCCATGCCAGCAGTATTTTTGAAAGTTTATAAACTGGCGGGGAAGCATTTGCTGCTGGAATTTAGCCCATGACGATCACCCCCAATCCACTGAAACAAATCCAAATTACTTGCGTGTCAAATTTTAGAGAGAAGAGGGAGCCACACAAATATTTTTATGAATAGCTGCTGGCCCGTAGTCATGTCTTATTTATCATCTTCCGAACTGAAGGTGTCTCCTGATTGCTTACGAAGTGAGTCAAGAGGAGAAAGTGGGTCTGAAAGCAAGGGCAGATGGAATCATTTCTCAGGAACGTCACTCTTCTCGATCATAATTCACTCTGTTCTTGCTGCACTGCTCACGGTGTCTGCAGGAATCGTGAACACTTGACTCCCTAGAAGGGGCAAAATCCATCAATTATGTTAGAACCGGTGGATTTTCATATTCACTTAGAAATAAGACGACCGCATAAGGGCTCACTCTGTCTCCACGTACTGAACTTGACCAGACCAAGCCCTGTGACCTTTTAGGACTGGAAAGAGCCTTGAAGAACTGCCTAGTGGACAAAGGGCTTGGAGAACACACTGCTCCCCTGCTCCTTCCCCCAGGCACTGAGTAGACTACAGGGGTGAGGTCTGGGAATCTGCTTTCATCATAAGCCCAGGTGATTCTAGGCCATGTTTAAGAGAGCCAGTTCTCGAATAAATCTAGTCTCCCTGTTTTCATTCCAATGTCACTTTCTGTTAAATTTTTGGGCCTCACTCTGATGTGTCCTGGGAATTGTTATTCTGATGCCTCCCCTTTGAAAGCCCTTCATTCCATCGTGTCTCTTGTTGTGTTAGGACTTGGGGCATGTCAGTCTCCCCCCTTGGCTGGTCAGGGTTACCATTTTCTGGAGCACCTGGCACAGTGACTGGTATGTGAAGTCCAGTTCACTGTGTGAAGGAAGAAACCAACTACGCATCTGAGTCCTTAGCTGACATGCTGTGTTGACAAAGCCAGCACTATTGATAGATCGGCAGGGCTCCTGACTCCCCCCTTTTATAGTGTCTACATTGATCTGCAACTTACACAGATTAATTTAACTGCACAAACATTTGCTTCTCTGTTTACTAAGTTTTGTTTTCTTTTCCACATCTCTGGATTGTGTTCATGTGATACACCTTGATTTCGTTCTTCTGATAGTGTTGCATCTAGTAAAACCTAGAAAGAAGGAACAAAATAAATATACACATTTATAGACACGATGCTCACTAAAACATTGCTAGGTCTGTTCCGTGATATCCTAGACTTCCAGGTGCTCTTCCTTCACCATCGAGACCACACATATTGGCACCCAAGTCTTAATAGAAGGCTAGTAAGAGGCATAATTTTAAAAGTTTTTAATCTGCAGGATCCCAAACTTCTTATTCTCACTAATGGCCTGTTGTCTTCTCCATGGAAAAATTGGAGGGTAAGGAAGCTTCCAGTGCCTGGGTGAAGAGCTAAGACTCTTGGCTGCTGCTGAGAAGTCTTCAGAGCCCTGTCTGAGGGCACCAGGCACAAGAGAGCAGAGGCAGGCCCTGGCGTGGGCTTTCCCACAGGTTGTGTTAGCGTCAGTTAAGAAGGAGTCAGGGTTAGACAGAGGAGTGCCTTAGGTTATACAGATGAGTGCCTGAGGAGTCAGGGTTAGGTAGCCTCTGCTCATGGCCAGAACGTCCCAAGTGGATAGGGCCATGATGGCACCGGGCCAGTTCCACCAACGTGCTCTCTGAGGAGAAGAGACCTTCATGGCTCTTCCGGAATAGAGCATGGTCTCTGTAAGCAGGGTGATGGGTGCTATGCCTGGGCCAGTCAAGACTACCTCAGGAGAATACGTTCCCATCGAGACTCTACCTGCTTGCTCGGGACTGTCACCTGAGAGGCCTTGCTTGTGGACCATGGTCTCTTCATACTGTCCTGTTTTTTTCTCTTTGTGTTATGCCTTTCGTGAAGCTTATTGCTCCTCCTGCCTTTTCCTCTCTTACTGTCTTTCTCCTTCAGTTCTTTCAGCTCTCACTCCCACCAGCTATCCTACAGACGCGGGGGCGGGGGGTGGGGTGGCTGCAGGCTTTCTGGAGGACCAGAGAATCCATTGGGGTGCTTTAAAAACATTGATTTCCTGAAATGTGGTACTCTGTCTTCATTTAAAAAATGTGATGTGAGGAATAGAATATATAGTGCTTAATAGGGGAGACAAATTGTTTTGTCCTTCATTGCCCTTAATTAAAAAAAGAAAAGTTATAGTCACTGGTAGAGGAGAGAAAGTTTCTCAGTTTGATATAAATAAATAGTTTTAAATAAAGGAGGGGAAAAGGACTTTGGCCTTGTCATAACATAGAAGGCAGCATTTTTTCTTGCATGAGTTATATGCTCAAGGGTTTCTTTGGGAGAACCCATGTTATTTTTATGTTTTTCCAAGTCACTCTGTAGGGCCTTTGTTTATATAAATCTGTAAAAAGTGATTATTGGGGGTTTGCCAACTGGCTTGTGTTTCCAGGCATGAGAGCTAGATTCCTATAGTCTTACAAACTCTAATTAACTTTTACTTTACAGGGCCCTTGCACCTAAGAAAAAACAGATTTAAAAAATTTAAACCACACACATGCAGCGAACCATCTCAAATGCTAATGGCGTTTCTGAATCCTCGATTTAAAAATGCTCTCCTTCCACCCTTTCCAGTCCCAACACAGGACTTCTTGAGGGAAATTTATGATTTCAGATTCTTTCGGTCAGACACCCACCCTTTTCTTTTTAATTTCTCCACAGAGACAATTATCTTGAGTCTTCCTAATTCACCATCTGATAGCCTTCTCCAAGTGAAAAACAAATATCACTCACATGTAAACAATGATGATGATTTGGGACCAAAGAGACTTGGGGTTTTTTTGGTTTTGTTTTGAAAATAAATTCTAGCTTAAAATGCAATTAAAATGCTATTTGGGATGTGACATTTCAGGTCCTTACCACGTGTACTTATCAACACTCTGACGATGGTGATTCTACACCTTGTTCTGTCACTGAAAATGTGACAAATATTGGGGAATTTTCTCCCCAGAAAAACACATGCACAAAGCTCACCCCCCCTTCCAGGGGTTCATAGATCCCCTCAGCTGACAGGATGAGACCGTCCTGTGTTGTTCATCTTTTCCTCATGGAAGCTGCTCACTGCTTTTGAGGATGAGCAAGGACAGGGCTGTGACACTGGCATCATCCCTGCTTTTCTGTTCAATAAAACATGAACATCTCTTACTCAGTGAGAGAGATTATTAAAAAAATAATAATAATTAAATGGTCTAAGTTCTTTTTTATTTTGAAAAACTGCAGTTCAGGGGCCTGTTTCACAAAAGCAGGCTGCAGTGTTGCCCCTGTGCAGTTTTGATGCTGGACCCAAATCTGCAGTGACTTAGCTCTCCTAGGTGGCCAGAGCCATCCGAACATGGGTTTCAACTCACAGGACCTTCGAACAGTGCTCCACTTTGAGTGGCTTTAAGAATTGCGTTACGAGGGCCCTCCCTGGTGGCGCAGCAGGTTAAAAGCACAGCACTAAGAAGCTAAAGCCACTTCAGCATGAGTTGGATCCTCGCCCCAGGAGTGACCCACATGGTGCGGCAGACCTCTCCTGGCCCACCCACTGCTCCCCTCAGCAGTGTACTTTGTCAGTCGGCCTGTTCTGCTCCCCGCTCTGTCTCTGGTGAATCCTCTCCATACCCCTGCACCTCTGGCCTAAACCCCAGTTCTGTATATATAAATAAATAAATCTTTAAAAAAAAAAAAGAATTGTGTTAATGTTAATACCTGTGTTAATACCTGGGTCGGTATCTCTTCTCATTTTCAGATAATGTAAGTTGAAAAGTTACTTCATTGGAGTTTCTGTAGTTGAATTTTTATCTAAAAATGTGGATTTACCTGTCAAGCCTGTGGAACAAATTCTCAAGGCTGCTTCTGGGTTTTATTAGCTTCCTTGGTTTCTCCAAATCTTAGATGAAAGATACATTAATGTACACTCAATATGGTTGACAGAAAAACACATTTCCTTATTGTCTGAGGTGAAAGAAAGGAGGGTTTTAGATACAAAGGTCTGTCGCAATAGTTCTACCAACAAAACAGGGTTTCGTGCTTTGTCCACAGAAATGTCTCGAAGATGATTTTTGTGATCAAATATTAAGTTGTGAAGAGACTAATGTGGCAGAATGTAGAGCTTTTAATGAATTAGGGGAGGTCACATTAGATCATTTAGAGCTATTAAGTTATCTCAGCAAGATGTTGATGTCCTTGCTAACCTGAATTGTCCTTTATTTTTGTTTTGTTTTGTAAGTGAAAATAATTTGGTCCCTGGCTTTATGTGTGTATATATATACATGTATGTGTATATTTATTTACATATTAATATATGAAATATATATATATATATTTATATCTTTAGCTGTGGACATTCCCATCTCCCCAACTCAATACATTACAGTTACCATCCCTAACTCTACCCCCACCTTAAGAAAAAAGATGTGCTTGGTTAATGGGAGATTAAAAAAAAAGTCACTATGAAATTAGATATGACAGGCCTTTCATACTTGAAGGCATAGTTTACTTTTAAGCCATGTTTAGAAGGATAACTTTACTGTGGGCTAATAATGTTCAGCAGTCACTTGTTTTGATAAATAATTATTGCTCCATCCTGTTCCTCCTGATCCAGTCTTCAGGTGGTGGGCGATCTGGATCTAGAGAGAATGTGCTAACAAGTTGTTGTTAGAGTGAATTTGTTCGCTAACCCATCCTGTGAATATTAATGCTAACAATCGTGTCTTGTGTTTTTTTTTTCTTTCCTTTCTATTTTTTTTCCAATCAATGTGCTTTTTCCTATGTGAATAATTATATGTCTAGAAACAGCCATGGAGTGATTTTGCTGTTCTGAATGGGGGAAAGATTAATAGTGACATTTGGAAGGCAAGTATCCTGTCAGATTTCAGATCGCTTAACGTTCTGTCCTTGTTGCATGGCTGTGGCTGTGTTGTTTTTCCTTCGCCGTGACTATCATGCATCCTGCAGGGACTCTGTGCTGGGGCTTCTTGCTAGGCATCACCAGTTCACACACGTTGCCTATTTTGGATGTCTCTCATCATGACTGACTTCAGGCTGACTGCCCCAGGCTCCCATCATCCTGTAGACTGGCTCGGTGGCTCGCACAGATCTACATCCAGCAGCCCTTGCATGCCTGCGTCTGCCTAAGCTCACATGTCCTCTCTGTCCCACACTGGGAGGACGTCTCTGCCTTTGATATTTGGAGCCAAATTATGGGCTTTCCCCCTTTCTCCATTAACGGAGCTCTATTTCCCTCTAGGATTTGCACGCAGCCACAGTTAACCCAGACCCCAGTTTAAAAGAGTTTGAAGGAGCAACTCTGCGTTACGCGTCTTTGAAGCTCAGGTAGGGGGCTGGGAGGATTTGCTCTAACAGGTGGCTTTGCGTCACTGGGTTTGCAATAGAATTCTAAGCTCAGTTTTCTGTTTTTCTTTCTAGAATTGCCCCACATGCTGATGATGATGATTCTGGTAGTATCAACAGTGACCCAGAAGCCAAGGTTTGTAAGAAATGTGCTTTCAGCAACTAGCTTATAATCACGCCTCCAAGCAATGACTTTGGACAATAGCCCAGTTTTTGTAAACCAGCAGCTCAAAGTTACGTAATAAGTGATTATCCCTCAATCTTCTTACCTTCCTAACCTCCAACAAAGTCAACCCCAAGGCCACACTAGCTGTGTAAGGACTTCTGTAGCCATTGAGACTCTGCTTGTATCTGTCTACATCACTTCTTTGCATAAAGTAATGAGTCAGAATTATTGCTCAAATGGGTGGGCTTGAGGAGCTTTTTTTTTTTTATTTAAATATTTATTTATTGGACCCTTCCTGGTGGCACAGCAGGTTGGAGCGCTGCACTGCAAAGCTAAGCCAAGCTGTGGCCATTTCAGTGCAAGTTCGACCCCCGCCCTGGAGTGATCCACATATCCTGGCAGACCTCTCCTATCTCACCCGCTGCTCCCCTCAACAGTGTACTTTGAAGATCTGCCTGTTCTGCTCCCTGCTTTGTTTCTGGTGAATACTGTAGCTGCCCCTGCACCCCTGGCCTGTACCCCATTTCTGTATGCATAAATAAATAAAATCTTAAAAAAAAAAGTGGTGGGGGGGGCAGTGAGAGGATTCACCAGAGACAGAGAGGGGAGCAGAACAGGCAGTTCAATGAAGTACACTGCTGAGGGGAGCAGCAGGGAGTTGGGGGGGTGGTCAGGAGAGGTGTGCCATGTCATGTAGGTCACCTCTGGGGCGAGGACTCAAACTCACACCGAAGCGGCTACGGTCATCTTGCAGTAAGTACTGTGTCCTAACCCATTGTGCCACCAGGGAGGGCCCAGGCTTGAGGAGCTTTTAAAGACAGACCAGGCAGTGCCTTGCAGAGCAATGGAAGGGGTCATTGAAGAGACAGCACAAGGTCCTTCCCACTCACCTCCTCCTGGGCACCCTCACACCCGTGCTGGGTGAGACCATCCCTGTTATAAAAGCATGTTTTGTGATGGAGTGTGAGCAAGCCGTTGTCTTCTGACTTCTGCTGGGTAGCAACAGCGTGAGCGTTATGGACACGCCGCCAGCGTGTACACACAGCCCTGCACGGAGAACCGGGCCCCCTTCCTGGGGCTCAGCGCTGTAGGGTTGCGGTATTGAGATGCTTAGTATTTCTGTCTTTGACTTTGTGGTTTGTCAGTAAAGGCAGCGGGGACTGGAGCCGTGCCTCGCCATAGTCATGCCACTTCACTACCTCCCCACACGGTTCTTGGTACCCCAGGCCTGCTCAGGCCTCCACCTGCCCCCACTGGTGACACTACTGCCCTTCACCTCCAGGAGAGCTGAGACTGGGGGCCGGGCGCACACCTGAATTCTCAGAAAGCAGCACAGTGCGGCCTCACATGTCTTAGCGCCTTTGCTTTATTGCCTTTCGTCGATACTGTGTTTTTGAAAGTTGAAGGTTTGTGGCAGCTCTGCATGTGATAAATCTCTCAGCTCCATTTTTCTAACTCCATCGTGTCATGTTTTGGTCATTCTTGTGGTATGCCAACTTTTTTTCAGACTCCACCCTGAATGTGCTCTATCAGTGGGGTAACAGCTGGAGGGAAACATGTCTTTGTTGTAACCTGTGATCAGTGATCTTTGATGTTGCAATTGTGATTGTTTTGGGGTACCCCGTATCACACGTGTGTAGCACAGTGAACTTGATAAACATGTGCGTTTTGACTGTTCCACCAACAATCAACTGTTCCTCCTTTCCAAGATACTGAAGTTAGGCCAGTGAATCCTCTTTCAGTAGTCTCAAATGTTCAGGGAAAAGGAAGAGTCCGTTTTTTTTTTTTTTTTTTTTTTCAATTTAAGCTAGAAATGATGACCTTTAGTAAGGAAGACTTGTTCCAAGTCAGCAGGGAAAACTGTGGACCTCTTGCACCAGACAGTTAGCCAAGTTGTAAATTCAAAGGAAGAGTTCTTGAAGGAAATTAGAAGGGAACTTATGATGATAAAACATGAAACATGGAAAAAAGTATTGCTAACGTTTAGTGCATAAAAGTTCAAACGAGCCATAACCTTCCCTTAATTCGAAGCAAGAGCCCTAATTCTTTGCAACTCTATAAAGGTGTAAAAGACAAGGAGGGTGCTAAATAAAAGCTAGACGCTAGCAGAGGTTGATTCACTAGGCTTAAGCCCTCAGTGTAACATTAAAATACAGGTAAGGAAGCAAGTGTTGATTCAAGTTATTCAGGAGATCTCGCTAAGAATGCCTGCCTTCAAAGTCTCACAGGAAAGACCGGGTGTCCTGCTAATGCAGCTGAGGCTTTAAGTTGAAACCAGTGCTCATTTAACACTCTGAAATTCCTATGGCCATTAAGAATCATGCTAAATCTATCCTGCATGCGATCTATAAATGGACACAGGCAAAGCTCAAATGACAGCATCTCTGTCTACAGTATTGTTTAACATTTTAAGATTCTTCTAAATATTGGAAATGTACTTGGCCGCTCAGCTCTGATGGTGACATAGGAGGGGTGTCGTGCTGTTCCCATGTCTGCCAACGCAACAGCATCCTTCCTGCGACCCACAGACCAGCATGTGGAAGGGAGTTATGTCGTAAGGCTGTCTCTGCCTCAGAGGGTGATTCCTCTGACAGACCCTGGCAAGGGCAAATTGAAAAACCTTCTGAAAGGATTCTAGATGCCATTAGAAATATTTATGATTCCTGGGAAGAGGTCAAAATAACATTAGTAGGGCTTCGGAAGAAGAGACCCAGAAGCTGACAGAAGAAAGGGAAATGTATGTGTATGTGTTCGTACTTTTTATAGCAATGAAGGGTTTTTTAATCAAGCAGTGTACATTTTCCCCAGTTTTGGGACAAGAGGCCCTCATTTTCATTTGCAAATTATGTTGCTGGCCTAGATACTCCCAGCCTCTTTCCCACCTTTCCCTTCCCTCCCTATACAGAGGAGATGAAGGAAAACCTTCCAGATCCTTTTATAGTTTGTCTGAACCCCGGAGCACATCTGTGACTAAGAATAAAGAGCAGAGAGGTTCCCTTTGTAGTTCAGTGGAAACATCATGCTGCTTCAAGCCCATGGCTCCTTCACTGGAAATGGCTGAGTTGCTGCCGGTTGTGTGACATCTGAGGAGGTCTGACCTTCTACCCCTAAATCACATACAGTGTTGAAAACCAGTGTTAACATCAATTCAAAAAAAAGTGACGAGATGAGGCGCTCAGCTTCCATCTCATCCAATCTGGTAGGATAAGCGGCCCTCCATCCTGTGGCATTTTGCACAAGTCCTTGGGTTGCTGCTAACACGTGGCCTTTAAAGATAAATTTTATGGCAAGGAATGGAGGCAGCCAACAGGAAGGTGGGCTGGGAGTAATTTGCTCTGCTACCAGGTGTTCCACAAGGCCTATAAGCAAAGGCTGAAGGAGGTGGGTGAATGGCAGGAGGCTGCATCTTTCTCTCCCAAAGGGTTGCGGTGGCAGTGATGTCTCTAAAGCCAGGTGTGAAACTGATAAGAGTGGACTGGGAGGGTGACTCCAGGAATGGAGAAGGACTTGATAACAGGGCTGGGAAGGCCTGGTTGAAATATTACCAGAGTCAGTGCTTTCTCTTTTTCCGCCCAGCTCAGCTCGGGGCTCCCTGCCTCCTTATCTAACCACTTTCCCTTGCCAGCCTGTCGGCCGGCCGCACCACCTATAATGATTTTGCTCCTGCTGATAAGGAGACTCAGCTTTATCATAAGTTACTGAAGCCACACTGAGTTCTAAACAAAAAAGCATGTGTGGCATATTACTTCTTTATGGCCTACTTTGTCTCAGACGAGAGCCGAAAAAACTTTTGTAAGTGCAGGTGCTTCTTTGAAGAAGGAAAAAAAAGGGTGCAGGAAATGACAAGGAAGACTCAGTGCCCCTGCTGGGCCGCTGGGCTTTGGGGCACATCTGCTGGGGTCTGGGGGGATAGGGAGCTGGGGAAGCCCAGTGTTGCAGCTCACAGGACTCTGCGCACCCCGAGTCTTTTCTGTGCCTCTTGGTAGTCTGAGCGTGAGCAGTGAGTCCTGGACGTGCACCTCAAGATCTTGACAGTTCTTTTGCAAACTACAAGTATTTCTGACAACCCTCTTGCAGCCCTGGAAGCCAAAGGTCCCCCATCTGTGGAAGGCCAGTCAGCTGAAGGACCCCATGCTGGAAAGGGCAGAGTTTTAGAACTTTATTTAGTTTTAGAACTAAATAATCATAGTGTGTAGCAGGCAAAAGCATCCCAGTTCATAATGGAACATAACAGGCTTTCTCGTGCTTCATTATAAAATACCTAATAATATTTTCTGAAATAAAATACTGGAATACTGCTACACTTTTGCCAGGCATGTTTAATTTTTTGTGCCATGGAATTCCAGATCCAGGCCTGAGGAATGATGACTAAAATGATTCGTCCAGAAAATGTTTTCCTTATTCCCTAAATGAAACTTACATGCTGCAAAAATAAAAATAATTTTTAGGCTATCAGGATATGTTTACTTTGGAATCCTCTCAGCCAGTCTGAGGTCTTAGTAATGTTTCCAAATAGCAGTGGCAACAGAAAATGACTCTTTTTCTTTTCTCTCTCTCCCTCCTTCCTACCATCCACCATGGGGGTTTTTATAATTCTGAAAGTATTTTTTGACTCTACCTAATTTTCTATATAGTGTTTTTTTATTATTTACTAGCAGTATGTGTATGAGTTTGTGTATAACTCCGAGCTCTTTAACTTTTTGTTATAAAATGATGGCTTTATAGAAGAATTACGATGATGGAATTATCCCCTACCTCCCAGCTAGCTTTCCCTAAAAAGAACATCTTCATTTTCTTGGTGCAGTTCTCAAAACTAAGAAATTAGCTTTGATTTCATATCCTTATAATTAAATTCTAGATCTGATTTACATTTTCCCACAAATGTCCTTTTTCTGTCCCAGGAACAGTCTAAGAGGCTATATAGCTTGTAATGAGCTCTTAAGAATGTATTCAAGGGCCTTCCCTGGTGG